TGCATTGAAGCGTTACATTCGCGGGCATGGTGACTGGCTCGTTCTCGCGCTCTCCATCCGTGCTATATCCTTTCGGTTCCATAGAATGTTAGCACTAAGGGATCAGTGTGAGTGGATCTCCATTCACATATTGGTCGATGTAGTAACCGGTGTGAGTGACTGTGGGCTCACGGCGACTGCGCTGGGAAATTAGGTGTCATATTGATCCTTCAGCCGCATACATTTAGGCGTCGGTTCCTAAGTGTTAACAAGGTTACTCAAGAGGATACGTATATAGTTACATATGGCCTATCTTCGTACATAATGGTAGTCCTTCCCCATACTCCCTCCATCCTTTCGTCTTCTTTTGTGAATAGAAGTGATCGGGTTTCGAAAACTTCAAGGTCGGTTTCTTACATTCTCACTGGCACGTTGAATTCCGATTAAATGTGGTTCTCCTTGGAATCTCGAGTTGGCCGTATTATATCATTTTCAGACCTCTCCACCATTCACCGGGTTCTCTGTCAGGCTCTCTAATCAAGAGGCAACCATGAAAAAGAAATGCAGCAACCATACTGAGGCAGACTTTGGCCAGGCTGTCCTCGGGACTCCAGGGAACCACAGACCAGCAAATCTCCGAAAAATGGAAATTGTGCTGGGGCCCGCACAACCAATTAAAATGGGTCGTCCAAGCATCTACGTAAGTGGGTAAGCCACCATATAGCTTACCTGCATATGGTCCGAGCCATGTCCGACGGCAACTCGCTAAGAGATTACTCATTACTTAAAGAAGATGGTTAACAGTTTTATCTCTACATGCGTATGCATTCGACACTCTCACTCTCTGATCTAGTAAGGTATGAATTAAATGCGTGGTACATACGAAAGTCGATTGCTAAAGAATGAATGAGAATAACACCACCAGACAAGAGGCGTGTTGTGGCGCAGTGCCACCATGTGCCACTAGAATTCTAACGATTGCTGGATCGACTCATTCTTCGATGAATTGCTAGCAGAATTGTTTGCGTTCGCTAGCAACTGCCTATCAATTGAAGCGACTTTGTACTGCCCACAGTAACAGATTAACAATCAAGGATCGTATACAAATCGAATAAGTCAAGTTCGAATTCGGAAGTAGAATGCTGAGATTCACTGATAGCTTGATAGTTTTCTCTCAGTTTCTGGAAGAAGCTGGAAAGAGCTAGAAATAAGGTTTTGGAAATGAAGTAGTGGTGTCCAGCCAAACACGTCCGAATTTATGTAAATATGAAGAATAATGCACACGGCGTATGCAGAGCAGTGTGAGAGTGGAAGATTCCCTCAAACTAGCTCTGCATAGAATAGTTGTTGACTTGCTTACACTACCTAAGTCGTAACTCTATACGAACTTACCCCCTAGCATCCATCTGTCATCGATCATTCAGTGAGTCATCGAGTAACCGAAGTTAGCACGAGACATTCATCAAGGACTACTGAGGTCTATTCGCTCTAGGAGCGTCTAAAACAACATAGTTTTGGTCCGATGAGTTTTTATTACTGCTTTTAGCAAGAAAGTAGTTATGGATGGCTCGTTAGGTTTTACAGTTGCACAGGTTTGGTCTTAGCTGAGTTTTCGAATGAAAGTGTTGAACCCCTTCTAAGACTGAAGGCTCGACACACACCCAGGAAAACCATCTAGCCATCTCTAGACAGGGAAAACCTTTTTGCAGGGGTTTACAAATCACTTCAGTTCCGAGTGGTAATTTCTGCGATTTTGAATTTTCATACTTTTATTGCTGTATCAAAAAATATAGACTGGTTTTCACTAATATCTATTGCCTTCCAGTATCGACTATTTGTGTGTCGATATAGCTGTTGACTGAATAAATATCACGATTGAACGACACGCGTGAAACTGGCCTAGAAATCGATATCGATTTTCTCGGAAGTTTTTGGTTTCGTGTCGATTTGATTACGTGTAGGTGAAATAAAATGACCAATGTTATGGTGAAGACAACTACTTTTCTGGCACATATAAGTGTATTGGGGTGCGTGTGACGCAGTGGTCAGAGGCGCGTTGCAACATACACGTGGAGTCGGTCCCCGCACACATGGCCCACCATGCCTTCCATTCCTTCGGGATATGCAAATTGGTACCAGACTTGTCTAGGAGTGATAGCACCACTGGCTCCATACATCGCTAGGCCACCGCGATTCATTGTAAACGCCAGATATGCATTCAGTCATCTCCAAACAATGCTTAATGGAGTCGAATGCATGGCGCATCACTCAGGGATTGATCAACGCCGAGAGCTTTATCCTTTTTCTCCTTTATTATAAGTGTTTCGCCTTCATGTGCGGATTTGTGAAGTTTTAGAATATCGGCGTAAAGGAATAACTGGTTATGCTTAGGGAACTGGACGACGGTATGGGTCGAGTTAGGTGAGTTATTACGCTACGACTGAATCTACGGTCAAGCGATTGCGGATGAACTGGTACGGATCGTAAATTCGTGTGTTGGCTTCGGTGCTCCGATCGAGGACATACCCTACCATAATTTCATGCTCGATATCGGATGTAGTCTAGAATTTTCCGTTCGCAGTTGAGTACGATTGCCATTGTTTGACAAGAAGAACAGCCTACCATATAACTGTTTTTATGTGAATTTTAATCCCATACTTAATAAGTTCTTTACTTATCTGATACTTGAATGGCCCATCCTCACTGGTTGTGCGGGTCCCAGCATAATCTCCATTTTTCGGAGATTTGCTGGTTAAGCCATTATGGTTCCCTGGAGTTCCGAGGTCAGCCTGGCCAAAGTCTGCTCCAGGTCTTCACTACCACGGGCAGTTGCAGCCCTTGTGGATCAGAGGGAGATTTACCACCGTGCGACTTTGATACCAGGACGGTGGTGGGTCCTGGTATTGGTTTACTCTTAGCTAGACTTCCTAATGGAAATGCCGGACTCCTTCTTAGCTTGGGAGACCCTGCTGGGGGATGAATCCCCCGCTGCACATCGCAATCCGACACCCAGGAACACCTCCCAGCCACCATTAGGCGGTAAACCGTTGGGAAGGTCCTTTTCGGAGGGCGCAGGTTCGCATCCTGCGGATGACAATAAGTTCTTTAGTCGAAAAAACTAAGCTTCAAAATGAACACAGAAATCATTCCTGACAAAGGCAAAAGATCTACACGATATCGGTTTGCACAGGGCAGTGGACATAGTTGCTCGCTTATCTCTTTAGAATTGGCAGTCGAAATCTATGTTTTTCACTGTGTTTACGATCGAATGTGCTATTGCCTCTGTTGCCAACTATGAAGCTTTTACTTCGAGAATCTTAACAATTAGGTATTGGTTAACAACTTACTGTGTTCTTAAGAATGCTATACTGGACTAAGACGAGATATTGTCAATAGATTATGTGTAGTTTCTATGGCTATTTTCGTTGACCTCCCCCATCATCCTCTTCGAAGACGTTTTTCTAGAGGATAAGGCCACACGTATAGGGTCTACTTGGAATAATAAGACTAGTGTCTTTATTTCTAAGAACATTAAATGCTTATGAAGGATTCCTTCACAGAATCTACGTTACGCTTAGTCACACCTCTCTAGGGCGGTCAATAATTTGAATTTCGCGCGCTTCGCATGGACTTTTCCCGAACGTTGATTGTGAATGTCGTCGGAAATATTTGAATCGAAGCGTCGGAAGACGTTCGGCGACGTCATCGTCACGTTTTTTCTATATTTCTCGGCATTTCATTGTGAACTTTACTGCTTTGTGTCTATTCTATTACGTTCGTGCTCCTTTTGAGAAGCCGACTACGACCTGGTTTTTCGTTGGGAACCTTTTGGCGATAGCCGTTTTCAACGACTTTCCCAGCTTTCATGGAGATGATTATTTTCCTTCCTTTCATGGAGATCATCGCTTTTGAGAATTCAATCAATACCATTACTTTCTTCCATCTTCTTTGTGTAACCTAACTTTTTAGCGCGTTTCTTATCGATTTCTATCAATTTTTTTCCGTTATCACATCATAGGACATTCAATATTCAAGCATCACGAAAACATCATTCGATGTGTTATTCGATTAGCTTTTATGACTGATTAGGAGTCTTGTCCAAATACTGAAGGAGACCAGACTGATTGTTAAGATTCTAGCAGTATTTATATGTTCTGTAACTATTTGTAAGTGTTCTGGTACTTTGTATATATTACATAATATATATTATATATGTGTTATATTATATTCCAGTACTTGTTCGGATCGTGTGGCCCAGTGGTCGGAGACGCCCTGCAACACGCACGTGGAATCGATCCTCGCGCCCATGGCCCGTCAAGCCTTCCATCTCTCTTGGGTCGGCAAATTGGTACCAGACTTGTCTGGGAGGATAGCAGCACTGGCTCGGTACATCGGTAGGCCACCGCGAGTCATTGTAAAGGCCAGATATGCATTGAATCCCCTCCAAACGATGCTCAGGGATTGATCAACGCGGAGAGCTTTATCCTTCATCCTTTCGTTACTTGGACGGCCCGTTTTCACGAGTTTAGCGGATCCCAGGACACTTTCCATTCGTTTCATTAGCTCGCAATCGCAGCTGTATTATATCATGTTTATTTATAAGTATTTTAATGTTCTGATTATGTATATGCAATATTCTGTATATTCTACAAGCACTTTTTAGTACCATTTATAATTTCGATGGTCGGTAGAACATTCTAGAGCGTGGGAATAACTGGCGAACTGGGTGGGTTTAGGGGCGGCGGCGGCGGCGGCGGTGGTGGGGTAACGTAGCCTCCTCGTTTATTGTTCTTGCGCACCCCGATGGCGCTAGCCTAGGCCGTGACCGTCGTTCGTTCCATTCTGCAGTGTCCTTTAAATACGACGTGATGGGCTGGCGGTCAGTTGGGCCGTACGTCTAGATGGTCCGCTGCCGACTGCCTATGCTCTGACTGAATCATTCGCCGTCGTCGTCGTCTGCTTTACTCATCGGCTGGTAGGAAAGTAATAACATTCAAATTCGTCATATCTGTCCGTCATCGATGGCGATCAGCGTTCCGTGCGATGCTGACCCTCCACAGGTCTCACAAACGCGAACTACACAACCGCAGAACGATTCGGATTCGAATACGTTACCACTAAGCAATCAAGAACCGGTGACTACTACACCTATAGCTAAACCACGAACTATTAGATCGATGTCTGGTGCTGATCGGAAGCCGGTACCGCCTGTTCGAAAGCTGTTGTCTGTTCCATCTCTAGTGAATGTGCGCAATAATCAACCCATTAGACAGCCGATCAACGTCATTATTGATGTGAACAATAGTCTTTGGCGAAATATTCGAATTCAAGATATGGACGAGAATCTACTAAACGGTGATTACTCAGTAACCATTGCTGAACAGCAACAACAACGACAACAACAATCTTCCAACGTCAACAACAACGCATCGCCATGTCGACGAACTAGGTGAGTTCTTTCTTTTCTTCTTTTTTTCTATTCGATTGTCTTTCCATCCAAATTACTTTCGTATTTGCTGAGTCATGTGACTGTAATGGCTTTCATACTTTTAATTTTTGATTTTCTCTGATAAACTTCAGCTTTCGAGTTGATTTCATATCACTTAAAGGGTGATGAACCCCCCACCCCCCTTTTACTAATACCTGGGTGATACACCCAGGTAATAGTAAAAGGTTCTAATTTAAACTGTTCCAATTCACAGGCCGCTTTCAACAATTAGGATTCTGGTGTTTAGGGATATATAAATTCATTTTTGGCATTAAATCTTTCTATGAAGCACTTTTTGTGATGTGTGCCCAAGTGCAATATATCCACCTTCTATCCAATATATCGATGACTAATCGTCCTGTGATGAGTTGCTCGCGCACACGACCGACCATTCGTTCAGATGGATGGACCAACCCACTTGAAAAAGTATTGTCAATGTTAATACGACTGAAAACATATCAAACTAGTACAAGGTGGTATAAGTGGGTTCTAGACTGATACGTTAGTCACTAGTAGTGTTATCTCTGTCAGACCTACAATGTGAGGCCAGATTTGCCTATCAGGTAGTTCATTGTTATCTAGTTAATTTGATAACAGTGAAGCTTTTTTTTTCAGCAAACTGGTTCTGTGCCTTAGTTAAGGTTTTATTTCGATATACTATGCCTGAATCATGTTTTAGAAGATAGTATTGTTATCGCGTAGCTATTTCATGCATCTGCTTTAGCTTATAGTATACAAGAAGGCTATAATATACAAGTAGTATACATAGATACACAAGAAATTAAGCAAAATTTCATTCGAGTGTTGATTCTGTCATTGTTTGTTTACGTCTTCTCCATTCGATTTATTGATTTATCGTATGTTGTAACGCTCTTAGTCCAGTAGTTGTGGAAAGCAATTAAAGCGAGCGAAAGTCGTTTATAACTGAACTATTGTCATTGGTATGATATATATGTGTGTATATATTAGTGTACATATCTGTATATGTACATATATATATGTATATGTATATCTATGCCATATGTAAAATTTTCTCACATTAATCTCTGTACCGAAAAATTTTCCAGTGTTTTGGCCGTTCGAAAGAGCACAGTGTAGCGGTTGAATGTTGTTGAATCACTCCACTACAGCAGATATTGTTGTCGTGAGTGTCTACGTAAATAAGGAATCCTTAACCGACATAATTGTCCATTTCTTGTCCAGTTATGTCAGCACTGCCAAGTGTTCGGAATCGTATAAGGTTTGATAGTGACTGTTAAACAAAGTCTATACCCGTGCTACTAGTCTTATTTGTATGCTGACTTCTGAACTATGGGGTTAACTCATTGCTATGGACTAATTGTTTTACACATACGTTAATTTTATCTAAAAATGTTCTAGATTTTTCTATTAAAATGGTGACCTGGGTTTAAGTTCACTTACTTAGAAATCCACTCATATTTGTGTATTTGCTTACTTAAAGTTATTTTCTTCCGGCAGTGATATGTGCCTTGGTTTCTGCTTTATGAAAACCTATTAATACTACTCCTCCCAACGGTTTACCGCATCATTGTGGCTAGGAGGTGTTCCTGGGTGTCCGGCTGCGATGTACACCGGGGGTATTCATCCCTCGGCGGGGTCTCCTAAGCTGAGAAGGAGTCCGGCGTTTCCATCAGGAAGCCCAGCTAAGAGTAAACGAGTTCCAGGATCCATCACTGTTCTGGTATCAAACTAGTCGCATGGTGGCAAATCTCCCTCTCATCTATAAGGGCAGCGAGTACCTGGGGCAGACTTTGGCTAGGCCGATCTCGGGACTTCGCGTAAACACAATGGCTAAACTAGCAAAACTCCAAAAATTGGAGAGTATGCTGGGGACCGCATAACCAGTGAAGACGAGCCGTCAAATTATCCAAGTAATTATTAATACTACTTCTTACTCATTGAGTAGAGTCACTCCATCTTTGGCTTCCTTCTTGTTCCCAGTTTACAAGAAATATGAATACATTTATTGTGCTGATACCATACAGAGTCATGGTTGATTGCGTAGATTGGCGTGAATAATCGTTTTTTGAACCTCAGTTTCGGCCTTAAATTCGCCGCCTTCGTTTCTAAAGGTCACACTGACTCTCGTGTCCGTCAGTCATACTGAAATTTGAGGTTGCTTTTAGCATAGCAAGGGATACGAAACTGACTACGGCCGATGGATGGAAGAAGAATGAGGTTAGAATGTCTAGTAAATATTCTTCACTCACAAGCCATTTTCATTTTCAATATCTACTTGTCACTTTTAGAGGACGTGCATAGCGAGGTGATCATAGGTGCCCTGCACAGTGTTCACATGATCATTGGTTCGACCCCGCGCCTCAAGTTAACTGGTTTCCCCATATCTATCCGGCGTCGGCATATTGGTACCAGACTTGTCTGGTAGGATAAAAACAATGACCTGGTGCATCGCTGGGCCACGTCGAGTGATTATTTGGGTCATATGCATTAAACCACATCTATGTTGCCCACTGAAGTAATATATATATATATACATACATATATGTATATGATGTATCCCTCAGGATTTGATCGAAATCGAAAGCTTTATCCTTTATCTATCACTTTATATTCGCATGACATATTATGTAGGCCAAGTCTTATTTGGTGTGATATCTGTTATGAATACGAGGAGGATCCTGTTCTTGATCGATCACTTCTTTTGTCTTCATTTTTGAGTCGTATTTAATACGTGCCTGAAATTAGTTCTTTGATAACTGAGATACTTGACGAGTTGGGAACATGAAAATCCTATATATGCTTTGCGTTATCGTTCTAAAGGTATACGTATTTTTGTCGGCTGTTCTTTCAATTTCATATTTTGTCTTGAAGTTAACGTTTAAAGTAAGTGAAAAGTCAGTTTTCAAAAATTTTAACAAATGTTCCATCCACAAACCTTGATAATACCTTGGTGGGCAGCGGCATTTCCTGCTGGACGAGGTACCTGCTCGTTCAACCCCTTGGCGTCCGAAATATGAACTTTGAAGAACGAAAAAACCGAAGAAATCTCATAGATTCCGAAAGATCAGAATTTCGTCATGTTCAAATGAAAAAGGAACTTTTTTCTTGTCAGCAAAAATATGTGGATTCTAATGGGTTTCGTTATCTACTATGGACTGAGGTATGCATATTTAAAGGTAGAAGGCACATGTTTTCTTTCATGTTTGACTCATATTTGCTTCATGTAGCTGTTAGGTTATAACTTCCCATTAATATATGTATGTAAATACATATATATATGATGTATGTATACATGACATATATATGACATATATATATGTATATATATTTCAACTTATCTTTGCTTATTGTAATATTTCTTACTTCCTTATATCCAGATTTCTTGTTTTGTCCTTGGACGGGCTTTTTTCCCTCTCTCTGAAATCTGTTTATCACAGCCCATGGCTAGGTGAGCGATCTGTCAATTGCATTGTGCTCCTGTAATCTAGGAATTGGCTGTATTTTTTTAAAATACAAGCGCTATAGTATTTTTTCCAAGTCTGTGTCTTTCATTTTTTAGTTTTTTGTTATGGTGTAGTTACAGACAATGTGCAGAGAATCGAAGCAAACGCGAAAATGATCCGATTAGTGTGCAGGTGGAGGACATAACACATTGTGAAGCTACTTTACATGATGGTATGTATTTCTACAGTAATTTTGTTCATATTTTTCCTTATTTCCTTACTTCTTTACCTTCTCATATAAGATGTGGAGCAATTTTTTTTGTTTCTTGGATTGTTATAGAGTTTTCTTTTCTGTTCGAAACAACGTCCCTTTCGGCTGTTATCCTTGACATTCACCGTAATGGGTTGCACTACCAGTATGTTCATGGCCATTTTTTCCTCCGCTGCAAAACACGCATTAACAACGCTGGGTCACGCGTGTTAAGTAGCAATCAGCTTTTCATGATAGCAGTTTTGCTAGATATCGTTTATGTTCAACGAAAGGTCAAACATCAGTTCTTACGTATTCTAGTAGCTTTCTAAGTTCTGCATGTTGATATTATCCTGTGTTGCCTAGTCGTCTGTTCAGGGTCTTGCTCTCTCTCTTCGTTTAAATCTCGAATATTTTATACTCGTTGACAGAAAATTCGAAATGACTTGTTGTCGCCTTCGTGGTCGAGTGGATCGGGTCATGTTGAAGACAGGCATTCATACCTGTTTCTTATTCATTATAACTATTCTGCTTTCTGCAGTCGACCATCATAGAAGAATGATTCACGTTTGTTCTTAGAATTCTACCTTAAGAGAGAAAGTTTCCTACTTCATAGTCTATTGAGTCTGCTTTCTCCGTGACAAATGCTTGATCTGTAGACCAAGTCATGTAGTGCATGTACATCATCACGTTTGGCAAATGGTCATCGTCGCTGACTTTAGATCTTCATGTTTTTCTTGACAGACCTTTTGAATGATGGAGAATTCTTTCCCGAAGAGAAAACATCGTTATAGCTGCTTACAACGAATAAGCAACTCTGAAGAAGGCGAAACCGCCGAACCATCAGCTATTGTATCCTAGTAAATCCTATAATACTAACCTCGTGTCTGCTTATTGAAGAAAACATCGAGATATCAATCAATGCCGAGGTTAAAGTTGGTCTTGGGAATTCCTTTTTAGGTTGTAAAGCTATCGCGAGATTGATATGGACGTTTATTCAGCTGAGATTTCGACGTCTTCATCTTTATCAGAGCTGATGATCCGAGTCTATAGTCCAGAGTTTTCAGAGATTCTTAGGCTATACACATCTATAACATTTATGTACACATATACATGTATACAGCATATATGTGTGCATCATATATGTAATGTCTATAGCAACACATGGGCTTCGACTTCATTTTATATTTCGTTCTAGGACTAGTTTTTTCATTTCCTCGAAAGGCTTTTTCTATCACAATCATTTACTGAGGTGGTACACACACACACACACACACACACACACACACACACACACCAGTTTGCCGTGCAGAAGCAGCTGGCATGCTTAACTCGGCCAAATGAGCGACGCTTCCCAAGCCGCGATTCATTGCACCACTGGCGTTGTTTCGAAACGAAAAATATGCGTTCGGCTGTCGGCTCTTTGGTTACTCATTACGTTCGTTTCGTTTTCAATTTGTGAAAGAGAGATCTTCGCTATTCTCCAAAAGTGGAAATAGGTTAGATTTTGAAAAATATATAAAAATATGTATGTGAATATATGTAAATATATGAAAAAAATTTTGCATGGGAGCCGTTTAGTAGCCGTTTTATAAATTCCCTTTTCCTTCTAGTGATTATCGGACCGCCTTCGTCCAATATTTTCTGATAATTATGTCTTTGACCATATTACTAGCGGATTGTGTTTGTTTTCCACTACAAGTTTTCAGTTGTGTCTTTTGATTTTTCTACTTGCAGCGCCAAAGTTCGTGAAGTTTTTTTTTGAGTTCCACACTTGAGACCATTTGCTTAGCTCTCGCGCGTATAACGTATAACTGTATATTCTTAGCACTGCAAGTCCAAGAGTACCGATTTCTCATTTCTGACGTGGCCTTGTAAGGCCCACTGCACTAGGTGTTTGGTTTTAACACATACGCGACAAAGTGACCTCTATAGGAGTATACGCTGCCAAAGTAATTTTTTCTACTTTTAGCTTTAAATCATTATGTCGTAACTCATAGTGAACTAATTTCAATAAGAACTATTACGGTCTATATTTATCCTTCTACAGGATAAAAGTTATCTTATCCTAGAAATTCAGATTTTTTGGAGTCTATGACACATATTTATTTCATTTCTATTGTTGCCTCTTAGCTTATATCCCGAATCCATTGATGTTGAACAAACGGGACTTCTCCCATTAGGACAATAAGGTGCTCTCCAGTGTATCGTTCATGTTTGCAAATATCATAAATCTTCTGGGAATTTTGAGAATTTAGGTTCCGTTGTCAACTTCATAGAAATGCGATTTCTAAAAATATTTGAATTTGTAGCAGCATTGTTAAAATAGCATCTACAAGCGAGACTATAGAACAAAGTTTGTTCTGTAAAACGATAGATTTCTGAACTTGCGAAATACTCCAGTGATCTGGAAATTGCCATCTGTTGCTGAAAAACCAGCTTCATGGCAAATATATCACTGCGGTTTTTAGACTCGTTATAGTTTTTTTTTCTAAAGTTTCTGCTTCAAGTGGAACTAAGATGCCAAGTGATTTCCGCTGCTGTATTTTTCTATGTGAGAGCCGATTCTTGTTATTGGGCTAGATTTTTTCCCAAGCGATCAATCATTGCTTACAAGGTGTCATTTTTGTCTTCTTCACGATACTCGTCATTCGTGGAATCGTCATAAAACTTCCGAATATGCTTACATTGTTACACTTAGACGCCTAGTAGCACAATTTTGCTATGCTGACTTATCATTTCCTATTAGACAACGAGTTTTCTTGTATGATGGGATGTTCGTTTTGCAACCTTGGGTGTAGAACTTTTCTTGTTCAGTTGTTTAAGCGTAATGGCTTAGATCTTAAGTGCTTCTACAAGTGGTACGTTCACTGATGACATTTCATTATTTCTCCAGAGAGAAGAACGAATGAAGAAAAAAGTTACAAATTCAAGTCATCGTTGTATTGAGCACAAATGAATTTCCTACTTAGTGGTTTGGTTTCCTCAAACATTTTTAGGAGGCACTAACTAGGAATTAGGAACCGGTACCTGTCTCCGAATAGTATGCTCCATAGCGTCTAGTGTTGATGTTAACTAAGGCGTCCTACGTTAAATCCAGATAGTTTCTCTACCGCTCTGTTCACGCGATGTTTACTTGTAGTACCTGATTATATTTATTTCGTTTTCTCACTTTTGTTGCTAGCATAATACACTACTAACGCTTTTTGCTATATACTTTCTATAATGGTTTTATTAGGAGTGTCGGTTCAGAACTATATAGATTTATGCGGAGAACTAAATGGTGGCCGTGAATTAATCGTTATTGTCTTTTAAATGTGAAATATTAGGGCAATCATTCGCCGTGATAAGAATTCCTTATTCCGGTTTCCGATATACAACTGGAAATCTATTTAGTGGACGCGTCATCGAGTTACGAGTGCGATGAAACAATTTTCAACCTGGATCAGAGCATAATGAGGATGGGACCAGAGTGGGTCGTACCTCAAGAGTACTCTAGTAGTCCCATTGTTCAGGAGTTAGCTGAGTCATGCGAAGAGGTGGGCATCTAACTCTTCTTAATATATATTAAGTCGAACAAAACATGGGAATAGATCAGAGGTGAAATTGGCACACATCGCTATAGTTAGGACTAAAATGTTTCCGATATCTGTAGAAAGTGTTAAAAATGTTTACTTTTTACTTTCTGCCTCTACAATCTTCACGGCAGGGTATTGTGCGAAATACAACCTAAATGATGCTTAGATATTTGCAAAACTCCGGACCGCAGATATCTGCGGTGTGGAACGAACACACTATTACTCTTTCCGGGACTAACGCGTTCACCATCACACCATGCGGGTCGTTCGCTTTGCTTGTCTCTGTGTTAAAAATGTATGTGGCGTCTAATCTCTGGCGTAAAATCTCTAAGCAAATAAATGGTTGTGTAAGTATAGTTTCATAGCTTTAAAGGAAGGATCAAATTCCACGGAAATCATTGTAAATGACACATAGACGGGAGATGTATGTCATCGTCGTACGAACTGCCTTGATGGGAAAAATTTGACGTTCTCTTTAAATGTTCCAAAGAGCAATAACCTATTAAGATCTCTATAACGACAGTGTTTTATCGGTTTAAATTACCACTTGATATGTGACCACAGAGTATAAGGGAGGCGCTTACCGTTTCGATCATAAGATTCGTGTTGATGGGAATCCCAAGCGTTGTTGAATGGAAAAGAGAACTACCTGAAAAATACTCTTTCTCATCGGTTTTTTCACTGCTGTTTATCTCTTCAGCTTTAAAAGTCTCTATAAAAATTATTCATGAATTTATACTGTATGAGTAAAAGAATTTCACGGCTACTGCCAGATAGATCAACATGGCATTTGGCCCGAAGTTAATTAACCTAGTCAGCCTCCTGTGGCATGCGAAAACCACATTTTCACTCCTTTTAAATTTATCTAGATCTAATTTTCCCGATTTCTAGTAAGAATACTTTCAAAATGTGCGCACGATGAAGTAACGTACCCTTTTGAGCCAGCAAAAGAAAAGTGTCCTAACGAAGTGTGAATTATCCCATATGCTAACCAAATAGGGCATTTTTAAACGCTAGCTCATTCACTTTACGAATTTTTCTATGCGACCGACAAAGTCCTTGCATTTTCAATCTTCAGGGTATGAAAAAATTAGATCGTTGTTTGGCTTTTCGCACCTGTATCACCTGTCATAAATATGGCTGTAAACACTAATAAGGAAAATCTTAACCGTTTTATTTACTGCCTACTATTTTTAATGGCAGGGTATATTGCGAAATATAACTTCAATGATGCTGAGATATTTGCAAAACTCCGGACCGCAGGTGTCTGTGGTGGGGAACGAACGCGCTATTGTCTTTTCCGGGGAGTAACGCGTTCACCACCACACCATGCGGGTGCTTCGTTTCGCCTATCTCTCAGCTAGTTCTATCGATCTCTGCCATCAGCAATCGCCCGTCAGCGGGATTGATCTGGGGAGCCAAAATCGGCAATAGATCCAGTAGAAAGAGGCGAAACGGACCCGAATGGTATGATGGTGAACGCGTTACTTCATGGAAAGGACAATAGCGCGTTCGTTCCCCACCGCAGACACCTGCGGTCCGGAGTTTTGCAATTATTTCAGCATCATTGAAAGTAATAAAAGATTTTTAATGTCAACTGTTCTCGTGGTACTTCTTTACGGCTTCCCATCTACAACACCAAAGTGGGTCCAAATTATCACATTCCAAACAAGGGAGTGAAGGTTAGCTGGCATTAGTAGATCGTTTAAGTACAACGACGAGAGAAATTACATTCGGAAATTCTTTCGTTAGAAAGACATAATTTCAGCGTCCAAAACCTCCACTGATTTCACAATACGCTAGTTCGTTGGCGGTGACTACACCTGTCGCAAGGATATCTCGCCAGGAGAAAAAAGTCTCGATCCTCGAACAAATAGTGCGGAGTCATCCAATATGGTAGATATTATTGAATAGTTTTTCTTATTGATGATGTGTTTCGGAAATCGTGCAGTGGTTAATTTCAACGTTAAGGTATTTGCAACACATTGGTCGGCCAACCGCTACTCATCTTTTGCGACAGATGGAACCAGGAGTTGGTGCCTTTTTATTTTGTTCGTTCAATATAGGGAAAGAAAGAAAAGCGATCAATATTACAAGGGAAATCAAAATATTTGACGGGTTTTGCTTTGCATAGCATATTTTATGAATTTAATCCCACTTGAATTCAAAATTGGCCAGGTGCCGTGAAAATCGCCTGAGTAGTTCTTTATGCGTCGCTCTAGGTTTTTTTCGAAGAAAAGCTGCTAGTCATCGTCCATTACGGTATTTAAAATTTTTTTTAAAGGGTTTAAGTTCTTTAGTTATTTCGAAATGTTTAAATCTGTTTTTAGCTGAAAACTTGGATGTCTTTGAAAAATTTGTTTAGAATTTTATTGTGCGTGCCTCTTCGAAAAAGGGATGTATGGCGATATCTGTGCGACTGCCAGGCGAACATGATATGAAGACTGAACACTATATTGTAGAATACGGTGAAACAGGAAGTGCTGTTAGTTTTACCCTCTATTCAGGTTCTATAGAAATCGATGATTGTTGTCGTTTTGATAAACAACATCGTTAGCGTGGTATTGAAATCTTTTGCTTTAAGCGCTTGTGGTAGTAGCGATATTGTGAATTTTTACGTACAAAAAAGAGCTATTGATTGAGTGACGAATGAGTTTAGATGATTGATTAAAGGTGAAAGTGATCGAGGCATAGGTTGGAATAACGTCATATTATCCATTTTTGTCAATTTCCTCAATTAGTTTTATGATGTTCAGATTCGCTTAGAGAGTAGTCCGTACTCATTTCGATCTCTGCCGCTACTTATTGAGCATTATTGTTCACATTCGTGGGTTTATCTGTTTTACTGGTTTTAATTAGTTTTTTTCCGTTATTGTTTTCTTAAATTCATCGTTATCGAGTTAGGAAACTCACTGTTTACTTATTACTTGTTAAGAGAGGAGCTTCAAGTTCGTCTGCGTCTTCCAACTGCTGTTATGTTATGTCGGACCACCAAAGAGCTGCAATCTGTGGCACTTTTGGGTCAAGGTGAACATGTCATTTAATTTCTATAATAGCGTTTTACATTGCGCATAATAAGGGGAGAAGATGTCCTTGATCTTTTTTACGGGCGTTACGTTGATGGCGACTCGTCTTTCTACTGAAGTGATAGAAAATTACTGTGCGAAACGTAGTCTCTTCAGTTCTATGCTATTTTTACTTCATTTGCTTTTATACATTCATTTAGTACTTTTTCGAACTCGTGATTTTTGCTTTCTTTCATACTTAGGGATGTTTCTTAAGTTATTCTTTCACAATGATGACAATGTCTTTATCTTCAAGAAAATTTTTGGATACTGAAGTTCTCCTAAGATAACGTAACATGATGGTATCCGATAAATCACAGTAGAATGTTCTGAGTGGAATTACATCAAAATGACAAATGTTGTTGTTCTCTTACTGATTTGAACGCGCTCTATGTTATGCTCTCTAATATCTTCTTTTCCTTCGATTCCTACTTAGCACTGTGTTTTCTGAACATGACTCTATTTCTGATTACTGTTTTGTTATAATATTCTTTACTCGAAATGTGCTCTATCGATTCATAATGAGAAGCACTTCAACATTTCTTTCATTGTCTAGGACCTACTAGTATATTTTCGACGCTTTTTTTAAATTTATGCGTAATTAGAAGACTCACTAGCGTTTAAACAGTTGTTGAAGGCCATTCATTTCTTTTTCTCGAAGGATCGTTGCCAACTTGAAGAAGAAGGTGTAATATCGTAGGAATGGTCTTAATACTTGACTGAATGGGAGTTCGTAAACCCTGAACAGCTGTCCAAATTGTTTGTGCTGTTCTCTCAAAGTGCAACATTTTATGTTACAACTGAATGCTTTAATCTGGCAATAGAATTGTGAATGAGATGGGAATAGGACGCAACTGTCAGTGTAGGGGTTAAAGGTAGCATGCGATATGTCCCACAGTATGACTGTTTCATTAGTAGATGGGAAAGGTTTTTATTTTGTAAAAACCAGTAAGAGAACAAAACTAGTATTAAGCAGAAGATTATATTCAATGGCCTCAGAACCGTTTCTTACTACGATTATTTTTTAGCCGTTTTATCTTTAAATTACCTACGTTACATTAAGTGTTTTTGTGCTTCGACTAGACTTTTTGGACCTCTCGGGTCTCACTGAGCATATCTATTTCACTTTATAGAAAATCGTTAGTACTTTTTTATAGAAGAGAATCCAAGGGCATCTAAAAGTGTCTAATTAAGATTACAAGGAACATTAGTCTAAATGTTGTAAGTGTCATTGAAGCGTTTCACCTAGTAAGTTGCGTATTAGTGTACCCTTCCAGGCTCTGAAGAAGGCGATACTGCCGAAACGTCAGCTACTGTTGTATTGTATTGTGTTTTTCTATGGAAGTACATGTATGCTGTTTAAAAACCTCGCGATTGCTGAACAAAAAAAACGACACATTCATATTCCAATTGGAAACTGTAACTAAATGTTTTTTCTTCACATCACACATCGCTATCATTTTTTTCAGTAGTGCTGTAACTTAGCCATAATCTTAGCCTTTGTTAAGAATCGTATGTACCACTCATGAAGTTATTAAGTGGTTCTATATGCCTTTGTATCTCACCAATGTAGAGGATACATGACTAGCAAAAACTTGTCCTTGTCGTATTGTTTTTTAAGAGGTTATGCGCGCTTTTCTTCTGACGGCATGTTTTGCAGATAACTATCGGTAATCATTAATCTTCATGTCAGAATTATTAGGGTTAGACAGACTGTTTTCTTTTGCAGCTATAGTTTGTCATCCGAGGAACAGTTCTCACCGTGAACAGTCACTAAACCGCTGATAATCTCTTTTATCTTGAAGACATAAAGTATTCAGCAGTTCAAAAATATTTTTGTAAGAAAGTTTTTCTACAAACTTTATTTCAGTCACTTTTTTGAGACCGCTGCAGATTGTTGTTGTTATTGAAATCCAGTTGTAAAGTGAAAAAGACTGTGCCGTAGGATAATAATCCTCATGGATTATCGTCATCGTAAAACACAGATGACCTTTCGAAACACGATGTGTTATTGATGACAAAAAGCCCTCCCGTTAAAACGGGCAAATCATTTTCGAGTTATGAAGTCCAAGATGGAATATTCTCGAATATTTGCCATTGTCGTTTTCCCTCTCAGCAGTCGCGAGGTTGTTAAACGGCATACGTTTACTTCCACACAATAACACATACAACACAATCGTAGCTGACGTTTCGGTAGAATCGCTTTCTTCAGAGCCTGGAAGGGTATAGTGATAGGCAGTTACTATGTCGAAAGCTTCAATGGCACATACGGAAGGTGAGAATCTAAATGGTAGTCAAATGGTCAACAGCTTCTCGAAAAACCCACCGTTTTCCATTGTCTAATGAGCATTTATGCTTGACTTAACGGGAAAGGCTGAAGTTCTCGGAAGTAATCACTTTTTTTAGTTAGCATTAACTGGAGAATTATTCATTGTTATGTTCTTAAATTTCAAAGCTAAGAAAAGGTTGATAAGACCCTTACTGTATACGCCTAAGTTCCATACGAATTAAGTTCTTATCAGCCTCGTGTTAGCTTTTCAATAAATAAGTACTTTGTACTGAAATTAGGTGAAACTTGGTATACAAAGGTGTTATTTGGCAATGTTCGTAAGTGCTCAGCGTCATTTTTTCGACTTTACTTCAGTCGTGCAATATCCCATTTTTCGAATGACACTGTTCAAGGGCAATTCCAATTTTACCAAAATGGGAGGAATATTTCAAATTCACAAGGGAGGTCCAAGTGTTTCTTCCAAGTTGGAGTTCAGCTGTTCTCATGGGTGCTGCAATTTTGCATATATTAAAGGTGTTTATCTATATTAAGTTCTACAGTATCTGTTATAGTGATTAACATACCTGTCTCTTTTTGATAGCCTACCATTTACGAGGCTATTCTGCTGATTTATGTATGGACTTGACATATTAGTGGGAATCACTATGAATTTGATTTCCAGGAGATAAAAAGATTACAACACTGAGAATTAGAACATTAATCACAATACGTGTTTTCTGTGTCACGCTCACTTATCACTTTTTCTTAGGAATTTCTTAGGGAGGGATTAATATATCGGATTCAGCGATATGTATAGATTTATGTGTTGTTTATTTACTATTTATTTATATTGTATATATCATGTATATTATTATATTATATTGCTATTATTATATTATTCTATATCGTTATTATATATTATTTTATTACATATGTTACATATATATAAATGTTATATTATTATGTATTTGTTTATTTTATTTATTATTATTTTATCTGAGTATGTGTGTTATGACTGTGTCGTATATCATATTATTTTGTGTCATTCCAACTATACGGTCGTAGACTCCACATCCGCGTCGAACCAGGCCTCCCGTTCCCCAAGGGGCTCTGTAACTTTGTACTAAATTTACATGAATAAAAGGGTAATGCTCTTGGCGTTGATCAATCCCCCAGGGATGCTCCATGCATTCGACTTGATTAAGCATCGTTTGGAGGTAATTGAATGCATATCTGGCTTTTACAATGACTCGCGGTGGTCTACCAATCTATCGAACCAGTGCTGCTATCCTCGTAGACAAGTCTGGTACCATTTTGCCGACTCCGGAGGTATGGAAGCCTCGGCGGGCCGTGGGCGCCGGGGTCGATTCCACGTGTGTGTTGCAGGGCGTCTACGATCATTGTGCCACACGCTCCTTTCTACACAAATTTACTTGAGAGGATGGAAACGCTCAACTGATACGTCGTTAGATCGCTACAAGTCATATGAAGCAAATATGGTTTAACCACTACATCCATGCTACGAATGGAGTCGATTTCACGGCGCAGCTCTCAAAGACCGATCAAAGCCTGAAGCTATCTTTTATCCTTTATCCCATCTCGTTTTACAGAAATAAGAGTTCCATTATATTGTCTTACTGGAGCGTTTTCACTCATGTGTAATGTCTCTCATCTTTCTCCTAACAATGTTCTGCATCCCATTTCTCTGAATTATTTCCCTCGTTTAGACGATTCTACTGTTCTCACTGTTTGTTCTCATTATATCGGAAAAGTGTCATATTCAGATTGATTTAATGTGATATATTTTCAATGTAGTTTAGTGTGGTATTGTTTTTTTGAGGGGAATTGCTTAAAGGCTGAATGCAAAAAGCTGCTTCTTCGAGAAGTGCAGTGCATTGGTTTGCACTTCTTTTTTTGTGGGAATGTCGCCTAATGCTTTGCGAAACTCGTTCTGCATTTAACGTAAATTCGCGATAATGACGTAGAATTTTGACCAGATTCCAGTAGTTGGCTTAGGCTTAGGATTTTTCGAATGCGTCCCTATATGAAAGCGTAGCGAACAGTTAGTTCACTTTACTGTTACCCGTTGCACACAGCGTCAATGTTCTCGACGGTTCTCTCATCTCGTCGCAAACGGTGTGCATTGCGTGTCCTCTTTCATCTCGATATCGGGAATTATAACACTTGCGATTTTCCACTTTTCTCTCCGGTGAACCGCGAATCAGGTTGGATTCGTTGCTATCATCCTACACTCGCTTCATAAATGTTGTCTTTCCTGCGTATATGTTTTGCAGATTTTCCTATATCTGTGAGGTCATGGTCATTCTCACTTGCTACTACTTCTAATCGTTACGTGCTAGTACAGATATTGTTTAGTGTAGTTGATTTGTCTTCCAACCCTTTTCGTCGGATCCTGAGTGCAGTCGTTGTGAACTTCTTCCACGTATTCTCCGCCCACTATAAAATTGCGCAGCATTAAGGCGTACTGAGTAGTTTCCGGTTGAAATTTCGCTGCCAGACTTTTGATGAGAGGCTATGTTGAGGGAGAAAACTTGATGAAAACACATGTGCAGAGTCTCACTACGGCGAAGTGTATTTCTTTTACAGTGAAATCTCATTTTAATCATAAATGGGCTTAAAATATTGGGTCCAAAATACAGGAACCTTAAGCGTCTTGTCTAATGCTTTCATTGTAAATTTTTATATTTTT